TCCAGTTTTTTGCTTTATTGCCGTCGTTTTTCACAACAAAACAAACCAATAATCCATGACAATTTGTGTTTATTATGTGTGTATGAAGAGATGGTTAGAAAGAATTTTCAAGATTTCTCCATTCAGGTCAAGATTTATCTGGAATCATCATTATAGCTCTGATGTATTTTTTATTTGTTTATGAAATATTTAGGGATTTTTATATATTTACTTATAATTATGTGATAATTCTGTTAATGTGTCCTTTTAACTATCAAAATATTAGTAAAGTTTGTTATTTAAAACGTTATTATTGCTATTTGCATATATGTTTGATTTTGTAATCATCATTATACTACTATTTGTGTGCCTCTAATGAAGTAGTTATGCTTAAGATTTGGGAGGCAAATAAATAGAAGTAAACTTTAAGTGTTAGATATGTAAATACATACGAATTGCACATTATGTATGTAAATGCCCCAACTGTTTTATAATGTGGAGACATATGTATAGCTTCAATTTTCAATGAGTTGCATGGGCTAAGCAAACACAATATGGTTCTGTGTGTGACATTTCATTGTGATGCACCTAATAGTTGTACTTTTATTTGCACTTATCATATACAAGAGAAAGATTTCCATACCAAACAATATAAAACACTAAATAAGATTGCATAATGCGCTTCAACATTTTCTAAAGATGCCAAACTATCAAAATACATCTCCTAATAATAATTAGTTTGTTCATCTAAACTCATGACCTTTCATTGGGAAGATCATTATTTAGATGTGAGTCAGTCTGAATCATGTGTGCTGCTAATAAGTCAACTAGTGCTTGACTTTTCACTACATGCAAGGGAGCAATTGCTAAATTAAATTATAATAGGTGCATCAACCATCAGGGTAACTTTTCAGATAAAGCCGATTAAGTCATTAAATATTGTAAATAATTTAGCCTTGAAATTTGTTTGACCATATAGTAAACCAAATAGTGTCTTAATTTTTTAATTGTACAAATTAGGGATGAATAATCCCTCTCAATTAGAGAATATTTAATATCCATATGTTGATGAATTAAATAATATTGTGCACTCACTTCTTGTTGTTAGTTACTTTGGGCTAACATAGCTTCAAGGGAGTCATCTACTGTCATGGTTTAAAGTATTAATGATCTACGCAAGATAGGGGTTGTTACATAACGACAGTGTCATCAAATACTTATTAATTAGTTCAAAAGCATTTTCACACTTCCCATCCCAATGGAACTTAACGTATTTCTTGGTTATGACAGTAAATGACAGACACCTTTTTGAAAATATTACAAATAAAGTATTTAAGATACATCAGTCTTCCATAAAATGATTTTAATTGAGTTGTGTTTTTGGGGGGCAACATTGTTAGAATGGATTTAATGTTTTGAGGATCTATTTCAATTCTACGACGCCACCTCAAAAATCCAAAGAGTTTTCTTGAAATTACCCCTAAGGTACACTTCAATGGGTTCATTTTATGATTATAATTATGTAACCACTCAAATATAATTACCAAATCTGATAAATGATTATTTTTTTGCTTTTGATGACTTAGTCAGCAATATAGCATTTAGCTTTGTTGTGAGTGAGTTTTTCAAAAATCTTAGTCTCAGTCTGCTAGTATGTGACACCAACATTCTTAACTCTAAGAGGCATGGCCACAAAATATTTTATTCATATTGGAGTTTTGAAAGCAATATAATTCTCATCTTCAAGTATCATTTTAATATGTTTGTAACCATATTACTTTTCCATGAATGAGAAGGTTTCATGGGAAGAGACAATGTTGAATGGGAAGAGACAATGTTGATTGTGTGTTGGGTATGAGTAATGGGAACTAATTTTTGGGGCATACCTATCCATACCTAGTTTCAATCTCTAAAATTCAAAATAATGAGTTTGCTAGTCAAATTTCTTGTTTGCCGGATGGTCTTCTGCGATTCAATTTTAAAATAGCTTTAATTTTGTTTGGATTATATTTATATTATTATATTGTGAGCAAGCATTCAAAGTAATTGCTCCAAAATACTTTTAATAATAAACGTTCAAGTAGAATTAAGCTTTATGTTGTATCTTGATAGGGGAAAAAAATATTTTAGTAAAGTCGAATAGTTCATCTTCGTTTCTTCAATTCTTGAATAAGACATTAACTACGTAAACATTCGAGCTTCAATTCTTCAATATCTTGAAAATTTTAACCTATGGTGTGTAGCTTTAGGATTCTTGACGTCCAAGGATAAAATCTTATCTCATATTTCTCTTGAAAATAATAAAAATTTGATTTTTGTACCGTACAGATGCATCTTGATCTAATGGTATTATGAGAGCATAAAAAAAAATTTAATATCTAAACTTATATTTTTGAATCAGTCCTGACATGAACAATACAACAACAACAACAACAACAACAAAGCCTTAATCTCACTACGTGTGGCTGGTTACATGAATCCTTTTTCTTCGTTGCGTCCTATTTAGTGTCATATTTTCATCTAGTTCTAATAAATTATGATCATTATTTGTACAATAAGCCAAACTCTTCATATGACTAACTCTGTCTTTCTTAACATAAGTCGAATCTTAAACATCTACTCTCCTAATCAGATCATCAGATGGTCGACGTTTAATGTGACCAAACCATCTAAGACGACTCTCTAATTTCGTCCGTCGCGGGAGCTACGCCAACCTTATCACAAATATATTCATTTCGCATTTTGTCTCAAAGTGTAAAGCCACTCATCCACTCATCCACCTAATGCCACCTAATGATTCTCATCTCGACAACACTCAACTTAGTATTATGCTTCTCTTTTAAAGGTAAAAGATTCAACACAATAAAACATTTCAAGTCTCAACACCATCTTATAACACTTTCCTTTCAGTCTAAGCAATATTTTTCTATCACACAAAAAACCTAAAGCATTCCTCCACTTCAATCAACGAACTTGAATTCTACTATTAACATCTCCATCTATATCACCATCAGATATCTGAATCGATCACACTTTTTAATTATTTGATCATCCAAAGTCACGACACGAATAATATTGAAAAAAAAAAAAATCTCTTGGGAAAGTGTCATTTCACTTTCTTGAAGTCACCCTCAATCCCCACTTTTCATATACTTTTTTTAATTATATCTATATTTAAAATTCAGTCATGAAGATCAGCCATCTAAAGTTTGCGGACCTTTTGTTCTAATTTCTTTCTTCCTTTTTTTCTTCCTTTTTTTCCTTTATTGAAAGATCATCGGGTTGACCCACAAAAGATGGTTAGTGATGTCAAAAAATGCATGAAGGGTACAAGTTGATTAATAAGTATTGCTTGATAAGGTTAGACTCCATCTGGATGTGCATTTCTAGTTCAATTAAACTTTATATTTTGGTTTAAATATATTATGTATAATCAAATTTAATATTTATTTATTTTAACATTTTTTTTTTATTTCTATCTTATGTAGTTCTATTTTAAATAGAATTGTATATGCACAGTAAAAGTGAACATCAAAATCCTCGTTCATGAAAAGCCATGTGCAGTTGGTCAATCCCCGTCTATTAAGGATCAGAGAACGACGTTTCGGGATAAGCTATCCAGACGCGTAAAATAATTAGGACGGCGGCGCTTTCAAAATGCCGCCGTAGCAAATAAGCTGCCCCAAACACACCATTAAATGACATGAAATTTTTATTAAATTTCACCAAATGTATATCTACCATATTTTAATAATCAAGTTTATGCTGCTGAAGACAAATTCTCTCATGTGGGCAGTGAGTTTTTATCCAATTCCATCAGTGCTGGAACACCGAAAAATAATAATATCAAAAAATAATAATAATAATAATAAATAATAAATCGAGGGGATTTGCATATGAAGCATCCAAAAATTGCTTATTTACATATTGAACACCTAAAACTTCGGCACTCTATTGCCTAAATGGGGAGATTTACATACATATATTACACCTAAAATTCACTTATTTACATATTTAATACCTACAATTTCCCGAATTATTAAAATTAGAACTGTCTAATTATCATGAAATAAAGAAACTTGAGTTTGAAGTATGAATATCAACTAAGAAGATAAAGCAACAGGAGTCGGGAGGCCTCAGGCAGTGGAGAAATATTTGTGTACGTAAGACGTATGCAGAGCTGCGTACGTTTGTTAGGTTACATGGAGGATATTGGGGGTTATATCGGCGTTATACTGTCTGTAACCTCCCTGTAACCTACATGTAACTAGTAAGTTTCATGCTTCTGTTTCATATTTGTCTAAGTTACAGGTAGGTTACATGGAAGTTATAAGGAGTATAACATAAATATAATCCTCAATACCCTCTCTGTAACCTACCTGATATACACAACGCTGCGTACGTCTTATGTATACAAATATTTCTCCAGGCAGTTACGGAGAACTGGGTGAGACGGACAGGTACAGCGAAGGAGGTAACAAATTGATCTTGATAATTTATGAAAGCTTTGGGCATTAAAAATGTAAACTTTTAGGGGTAGACATGTAAATAATCGAATTTGTGTGCTGTGTATGTAAATCCCCTTAAAAAATAAATTGTCTGGGTAGCTTCAAAATGCGTGATTCATAATTTAAAAATTAAAGCAAAATTTCTCTTCCTGGGAGGAAAATAATCTTTTTTTATTGCAAATAGTCTCCAATAAGGTAAAAACGTAAACCCTGCGTGGGTAAATGCTAAAATAGTAGATGCAGCCATGCAGGCATTCAGCACTCGTGAGTCGTGATAATGGAACATCTATGATCTTTATCTGACCCAGCTTTCAAAACCCAGCTACTCCATGGACGGATCCTCCATGAAGACACCAGAAGCTTTTTCGGCCAATAAAAAAAAAAAAAGAGCTAGCAGCTTTTTCAAAAGAAAATTAATTAAAAGTTAAATTTTTATTCTGTTAGTCATTTAAAAAAGATATTTTTCGTGTATGGAAAATTAAAGATCAATTTTTTTAACATTAGGACATTTGCTGAATGAGATTTGTCGGCGGGCTATGTGAGAGGAGAGAGAAAGCAAAGAGTGTGTTGTACTGTAGTGAAAGAGAACAAAGTGAGATAAGGAGAGCTCAGTGGCGCCCTAACCTCGCCCATCACCCACCACATGATGGAGGACCCAACGCTTTCCCCGTTAGAAATTCTTACTTTGATCCACTGCTTTTACCATTTTTATTCAACTATTTATTGAATATTTTAGCCGTGGTTTCAGATAGGGGGAGGAAGGAAACAGGAGAAAGAAGAAGAAGAGTTGCGGATACGCTGCTTTCTTTTGACGCCTTCGGTTTGGCATTTCATGGCCGATGCCCAGGTGAGTGCCCCCGGTCTTCTTCTCGGATTCCCATGCTCTTGTCTTTGTTTCGGTTAGGTTTTAGTTCTTTCTTTCTTTTTTTTTTCCCCCGTTTTTCTTGGGATCTTCTTTGATGGGTATTGTTTATTTTTCGTGATTGATGCCTCTATGGCGTTAATCAGTGTTGTTGATTGAGGTTTTTATGATGGTTCTGAGAAAGTCGGCATTTTTAGAAGTTTTTATTCGGCGCTTTGGGTAAAGTCCGGATCTTTCGGGGCTAGATTCATTGGCCACCGATTGGGACGCAAACTTTGTATTTGTCACTTGCTTGTAAAAATATTTCTTTTTTGTTGTTCTGTCTTGTTCCTCTTGCTTCGGAGGGAATTTAGGGCGCTTGTTCCAGTTTATAACCAGAGCTGCTACTTGATCCAGTATTCTGACAAGGTCTCAATTGGTTATGATGGCCCAGGGCTGCTTCAGTGAGGAAGAGGATGTGGATCAGTTCTTCGACTCCAGAGAAGAGTTATCATCACTGTTCGATTCATGTCATGAGGAGAATTCTAACAATTTGTTCAACAGAGATCCTCTTTATGAGGTTTGGATTAGGAGTCCAAGTAGCATTCAACACCGTCGAACGATGTTCATGAAGTGGATGGGTTTGGGTCAAGTTGCAAGAGCGCGGCCCGATTCCGTTGATGTAGATAATGAGATAATGGTGGACGAGTCAGTTACAGTGGACCTTGATAGGTTATCCATGGACTGTGGTGTTGTGCTAAGGGGTTCAGAATCAGAGAATGGCTCTCTAGCCTTTCCCTGTTTTGATGAGGTTCGAAGCACTTCTGAAGATAGCTCTTCTGATGTGCATTTTGCATATGGAATCAAGAAGATACATGATGGTAGGGTGTTTTCTGCAGGTGAAGTCGGCCAGAAAGGCACTGTAGGAAATCTTCTGGAGTTTGGCTCAAATCAAATGGCGACACTTGATAAATTTGAGAGAAGACTTGGCCCATCTACTTTGAGCAGTAATTGTGAGAAAACAGCTAGGAGGAGAAGGATTGGGTGGTTGAGGAGATTGCGATCTTTTGCTTGCATTGCAGATAAGCAATCCTATGATGCTGATTCAAACATCTCTGATTATGATCAGGGTTGGGATAACAGATTTCGAAGAGTTCGGGTAAGATCATATAGAAAGCAAACCAAAGAGCTATCTGCAGTTTTCATGGGACAGAATTTTGTGGCCCATCATGGTGCCATTCTGACCATGAAATTTAGCCCTGATGGAGAGTACCTTGCAAGTGGGGGTGAAGATGGAGTTGTCAGAGTATGGAAGGTGATGGAATGCCAAAGTAGCAATGCAAATGACATTCCTTTTGATGAACCTTCTTGTATTTATTTTAGCATGAATGATAATTCGGACCTTTCACCTATCCATATTAGTAAGAAAAAAAGTATCAACTCTAAGAGTATGCGAAGGACAACAGATCTGGCTTGTGTTGTCATTCCTCGAGAGACCTTCCAAATATCTGAGAAACCATTATATGAGTTCCATGGCCATAATGGCGAGGTATTAGATCTGGCATGGTCTAAGGGTTTGGTAAGTCTGCATATTCTCTCAACTTTAGTGCATTTACAGCAAATAATTTCTATTGTACATTTCTGATTGCGAAGAATCGATTTGTGCAGGATTTACTATCATCATCTGTTGATGAAACTGTTCGTTTATGGAAATTGGGGTGCGATGGATGTCTCAAAGTCTTCCCTCACAATAACTATGGTTTGTGGCTTTATGCATTAGTGTATTATTTACTTGTTGGTTTCTTACCTCCCTTTTTAATCATATAATGGAACTGAATTCCTTGTTTTGATGGCATTATGCAGTGACTACAATTCAATTTGATCCGTCCGACGACAGATATTTCATTAGCGGTTCTATAGACGGGAAAGCTCGCATCTGGGAAATCTCAACATGTCGAGTTGTGGATTGGACTGATGCTAGACAAATAATAACCGCAGTTTGTTATCGCCCTGATGGCAAGGTAATCGGCTACCATTGATGTTTTCTTGTTGATCTCCAGCGAATTTTCAAAGAGTTAACTCTTCCATTGCTTCTTGCAGGTAGTAGTTGTTGGCTCCATGATGGGTGATTGCCGCTTTTATAATGCATCAGGTGCTTTAGAAACGTCTTTACTTTCTAAAACATTTATTGTTTTCTCCTTGTATTAGTGGAGATAAATTATATAATTATAGATCATTATACAGTTGTCAGGTTGAGATTCCATTATATTGGTGCTGCTTGTTTATTCTGTAAAAGAAAAAAAAAAGAAACTAAATGTAGTCAATACATTGTAATCATTCTTGTATATATTTGCCTGGGATCCAATTAGGAAAACAGTTTTTTTTTCTTAATATAATTAATATATAAGATAATTAGTTTATGGTTTGTGCAGTCAATATTCCTCCAGCTGCTTCTTTGTCTTATCAGCATATTATACCATACTAAAAGCTATTGCAGCAAAATTCTTATTTTCATCTCTTCTGTCATGATTCAGACAATCATCTTCAGTTGGATGCTGAGGTTACTTTTCAGGGCAGGACAAAATCAAAAGAGAAGAGGATAACTGGCCTTCAGGTAGCCTTCTTTTACTGAATAACTTACTGAACTTGAATTGTTTCCCTCTAAAAATTTTCGATGATTTTAAACCATTTTTTTCTTTCTTCAGTTTTGTCCCAACAACCATCTCAGGCTAATGGTTACTTCTGCTGATTCAACGGTGCGAATCATTGATGGCTTTGATGTGGTCTCTAAATTCAAAGGTTTTGAGCACAACTTTTAGTTTTTCTTAAGAAACTATTCCTGAAGCTGCATGAGTTCAAGTTCATTTTATCTGAAAACTCGTACTTTCTTCCTCTTCTCGCAGGCCTTCGCAATGCAAGAAGCCAGATATCGGCCATGTTCACGCCTGATGGGCAGCATATTGTATCTGCGAGTGAAGACTCGAATGTATGCGTATGGAACCACTCAAACCAGGATCACATCCCCTCATCCAAGCACGTGAGAAGCTCTTGGTCCTCCGAGCGTTTTACCTCTGACTATGTCTTGGTCGCCGTACCGTGGCAGGGTTTCTCATCAAAAAACCTACAGTTGTGCAACAATGCAGAACCTGTCTCTGCACTGGAATGCAGCATTGATATTACAGAAAGAAACTTCACATTCTTTGCCAACTCTCTAGGGAACAGTTTCAACCTTTGGCCTCAGTTCCTTTCAGAGATCACTCCCAAGGGTTCTGCAACCTGGCCTGAAGAGCAGCTCCCATCTTCCATGCCCAACTCCTCCAATCACAGTAAATCCCAGCTCAAGTTTCTGAAAACTTGCTGGCAAAGCAGCAGCTCTCATTCCTGGGGCCGAGTAATAGTGACCGCCGGATGCGATGGGAGGATCAGATCGTTCCAGAACTTCGGATTGCCGGTTCGCATGTAATTATTCGAGGTCTTGTAGATATAATTCCTCTGTAAAGAACATAACTTGTCCTCAGTTGATTTCTCATTGGTCAGAGGATCAAAGTTAGCTGCTTTGAAGAAGAGGATACTGAAGCTGGCCAGATGCTGAAATGTTTTGTTGTTTGTTCTGTTCAGTTTTCTGGGAAGCTTTCTGTTCTGTAATGGTCTCTTCTTTCTGTTCTGAATGACCTGACCCTCATGGGTATGTTGGTCTGCTCATCTTGCTGCCATGACAAGAATCTGCGGATGCAAAATTGGGTGGATCTGTATTGTTTGTATGCCTTTTTTAGATTTGATTATATATAAATAATTTATTCTTTGATCTGTTCATAAATTGATTTTTTTTTGGCCTGTTTGATTGTGTTCATTAATGATGGATATTGTTGTTGAATTTATTTGGCCCAGTGGATTTTTATGAAATTTATTGAAATGGTCCTATTTCCATCTCTCTTTCTCCGTCTCTTGTTATATATCTACACAACAACAACAAGCCTTTATCCCATTAAGTGGGGTCGGCTAAATAAATCCTTTTTCTCCATCGATTCCTATTGAGGGTCATATGTAAATTAAGTTCATTTCTTATACAATATGGCCAAGTCTTTTTAGGTCTACCTCTGCCTTTCTTAACATAAGTTGAATTTAAAACATCTGCCCTCTTAATCTGATCATCATGGTAGACGTTTAATGTGATCAAATCATCTAAGACGACTCTCTCTAATTTTGTTCTTCATTGGAGGATATATATATATATATATATATATTTGAATTGGTAGCTTGAAAAAAAAGGAAAAAATGTAAGATCCTTGGGAGCCAATGGTGGCCAGTGTGTGTGCTCGCTGGTGGCGGATGGCGGTAATCTACTGCTGTGGCGGGGGACTGGCAGCGACATAATGGCTGACAAGGATTGCATCTCTAACAACTAATTTGAAGTGTATTTTAAAATCGTCTGAATCTAATAAATTTAAAATACACTAAATGTTAATTTTGTTTGAACTGTTGCAAAAGAAACATGATTTAAATAAAATAGAGTGTAATTGATATATAATATATTTGAAATATTTTAGAATTTGGTTGGGCATAAGTTAGATGCAAGAATTAACATTTATAAGAAAATAAAATCAATATAAAATCTGATGGTGGTTGAGGTGGATGACTAATGATATACGCGGCCATCGCCTGCACTTCGGAGGCGATGACAGTGGCGGAGGGAGGTGGTTGCTCTTGGGCTATGGGACCTATTACAACCATCGACTGGTTGCAGTTTATAGATGACTATCTATTGATTCATTTATTAGAGTAGATGTTGTAACTTCAACTGATGTTAAGAAATATGGAGGTAGACCTAAAAGGACTTGGACATATTGTATAAATAATTATCTTAATCTAATAGAATTAAATGAAAATATGACACTCAATAGGACAAAATGGAGAAAAAAGATTTATGTAGCTGACCCCACTTAGGGTCCGTTTGGGACAATTTATTTAGAGCGGTGAGGTTTTGAAAACGCACATTGTCTGTTTGGGTAAACTGCATTTTGACAGCTTATGCGTTTTCAAAAAGCTTAAAACAACGTTTTCACACCGCATCTGTCTAGGTGCAGTGACAGCTTTCTGGCTACAGTCTGTCTTTTCCAAAAAAAATAAAAATTTGTAATAGCTACCGCACCTAACTTATCGACGGATTATTTTTAATGAGCTTATCAGCAGATTATTCAATAAACTGCATCTGCCCCAAACATACCCTTAGTGGGATAAATGTCTGTTATTATTATATTAGATATATAAATACATAACAAATATGTGATATATATGTGTAATTTTTTTTTCTAAAAAAAATTTAAAAAGTAAAAAAGTATTTAGTACATGTACAAAAATAAAAGCTGACAATGCAACAACTTAGATTTTTGGTATGATCAACTTATTATTTTCTGGTTGGATCATATTAAATAACAAAACTAAACCTCTATTATTAATAAATTGGGGAACTACTTTCTTGATGCTTCAAAACTGCTTGCATGTAACAATTTTGATTGAGATGTTACAGAAATAGTTTTCATATCTAAACGGGGAATAGGTTTTATTAATTTTTGCAATGATTTAAGCATTGATATTTGAATATATAAAAAATATGTAAATAAACTTTCATTTGAGAACATGTAATATAAAATTTTTTTTTTACATTTTGATAATCAAATTATCTTTTCATGCATCATGAAAATTTTGATTCATTTGATTATTATTAAATTATATTAACTTTTTAAAATCATGCATAACATTAGTCATAGCAATATTAAACAGAGTTGTTTATCGATTTTTTTTTACAATAACAATAAAAATTAAAATATAAAATATGTGATTTGTATCATGACACTAACGAAAGAACATTCCTCTTACCCAAAAATGGTCTTCACGGATCTCGAGACAATCCAATGATCCAAATAAAAAAACTGAAATACCCCTTGCCATTCTATGTAAAGCAAGACCAAATATGTAATTTTATACTCTGTCCTCGTATCATCTATAAATAAGTGGGTTTTTATTCCCCTTTCTTGTAACACAAACCTTTAGTGAAATAAAATGGGAGTAATAGTTCTAGGAACACCATATTCACCCTACTCTTTCTCTGCCTCTTTCTCTCTTTCAGTCACTATGCTCTATCTCTTGGGCATGAATAGACAGATCTGGATTCACCACTTCCACATGTTGATTTAGATATTATATTTGAAAGACGTGCCATCAAAATTAATTTCACTGAAGAATGATAAATGTACATTTTGAAACAAATTCATACACACGCCAAATTGATTTCAGCTCAGTCCATTTGATTCAGATCATATATCTAGGGCTGTGAATTTAGCTTAAAGATCGTTAATCGCTCCAAAACTGATTCAAATTTTGTCCCAAATCGAAATAAAAGAGCCGTACTACGAGTCAAAATTACAGATCAATTTTTTTCCGAGCTAACCTCAACTCTTAACAAACCTAATAATGTTAGTGCTATGCTTTTAGCGAATTTAGCTCGAATAACATTAATTGCTTGATTCGAGGTTGGATCGAAATCAACGTGTCGAGCTTTGAGCCAAAATTTTAGATCAAAAAAATTTTTTTTTAATCCGATTCTAAGCCGACTCTAATGAGGCTCGAAATCAGATCATCAACAAACCTAACCACCTACTTCTTACTTCACTTCAAGATAATTCCCATAAAAATTGAACCCACTTAACCGAAAAATGCTAGAGACAAGACTCTTCCTGTCCTAACCTTTTCAAAAGGAATGTCACAAATCATCCCATAAAGCTCGCTTAACCTCACCCAAAAATCACAATAATGAATTCAGAATCCGTTCATGTCCGGTCCAACTCATACAGCACTTAGTTAGGTTGGCATTGATTACTCTAATCTAGTCCTAACTCAGCAAGCTAATATTCTAATAATCCATATATAAAAAAATTCATATGATTATGAAGGTATAGAAAGAAGAGTACAAATGAATGCAGAGAAATTAATATGGGCCCCCATTTGGATGATTGGGCTGTCGCATTTATGTTGCATGGTACGCTTGAATGTTTGGAGGGAAGCTGCATATAGTTGGCTTTGATTGGGCTTGATAAAGATGGTGCGATGGAGCGAGGCTTTGCGCCCACCGGAGATGTGAACATTTCATTAGGGTGTTTGGTGGCAATGGGAGGATGGAGACGAGAGATGCTTCAGCCTTTTATTTATGGTTTTGGTGAGATGTTGTTCTCAGGGCTTTTGATGACTCATAAATGTTTTTTTTTTTTTTTTTTTTGAAGGAAAATATTTAATATTTATTTAATGAACTTTTATTATTTTTTATTATTTTTTAAAATATATAAAATTATATTTAAAAAAATATAAAAAATAAGTTTGTTTTATTTTGAATCAAGGCATTAACAAAGTAACATAAAAAATAAATAAAAATAAAAAGCAAAATTAATTCCAAAGACAAAATATTTGAAAATTTTTTATTTATTAGTAGTGAATAATAGGGATCATTTTTATTTTTTATTTTTAATTTATTTTTATCTTTTTTTTTAATTTGAATTTAAATTTATTTGGGTGTGGTTATTTTTAAAAGCGCTCAAAACACCTCACGATGATTTATTTTTAAAAAGTAAAATAAAAATATGCAAAGATTTCTCTGATTAAATATATTTTTAAAAATAAAATTAAAAAATAGGCAAAGATATATTTGAATAATAATTCAATATATATTTTATATAAATGTATAAGTGGGTCTGTTTTTACACGTGGCAGACCCTATTTAGAGTTCTGATGCAAAATGCAATAACTTTTCTTTTGATAAAGTATTAATTTCATAATTAGTTGCATTTGATGACATACTTGATGTTCTTAACTTATAAAAGTATTTTTGACTGTTTTTAAAAATAATTAAATATGTTATAATATACTAAATATACTTTATTTTAAACAAAAGAATAGATAAGTTAATATAAAAATTAAATAAAATATAAAATGATCCTAAATAGTCTTTTAATGATTAAAGATTTTAAGTCCGACTAGCCCTAAGTTAGAGTGAAGTAAAAATGTAGATGGATTTTCAGTCAACTTGGGAACTAATTTTAGAAATTATAATTCCATTAATGGAAAGTTACATTATAGTTGTTGAGAAATTAGGGAGAAAAAAAAACAGGAATCGAGGCAAATCCAGAAGAACACACAAAGATTTAACGAGATTCGTCAGAGCGGCGGCTTTCCTTTTAATCTCAAAGAAGAGTGCAGAATAGAATACAAAACCCTTTAGGGTTACAATAGAGCCTATATATATAACCATGAAATACGACATGTAATTACAAAATTACCCCTGTACCGTACCGTACCGCGGAGCGTTGCCCCCGCACCTTCAACCCACGTAACGAAACTCTGCCGATTGGACAGATTCTTCGGCTCCGCTCCGCTTCGTTCCAGCATCCGTCACTTATATGGTATACGAGTCATACCATAACAATAATTTATATAATGTAAGTTTACCTTTTTTGCCCCCTCTTAAGCGAATGATTAGTTGAGCAAATGGTTGCTGCTTAAGCCTACTCTCATTACATTTTAATGTAGCATAATTATATTGTAACTAAAACTGTATTTAAAACTTATCATTAAGACTGGTTAAAGCTTAATCTAAATTTGATGAATAAACTCAATTAAATTTCAATTTAAATAAAATTTTTAATTCATAATGCATAAAAATAAAATAAACTTATTTTGTTTCTTTTATATATTTATTTTAATAATTCATTTAGCGGGTCATTCATTTAATAACTCGTTTATTTTGGTAAGTTAAATGATTAACTTTTTAATAGACTCGTTAGAGTTCATTTGATTAGAAAATAAATAGTCCAATCATACTACTCTT